GAAACACACAATCCGCCTGTGCCTCTGCAGCCTGCAGTGAGACACAAATTCATAGCACTGGGTGACCCAAACTATTTAACATGCCAGTAGCCTGTGGAGCAGATGGCTACTGCCTGTCACCGCTTCCTTGGCTGAAAGGACACGTTTCAGTGGCTGCCTCCTTGTGCCTGAGCTTACAAATGTCCCTTTGAGCTGCCAAGATGTTAATAAAGTTCCCTTCGTTCGAGTGATTGGAACAATCTCTGTGCAGGGTCTCTCCCAGCCAGTTTTTAGGCTGTTTTGGTGAGGTTTTGTAATAAATACCTCAAGACCAGGTTTCCCAGGCTGCCGAAGTGCGTTTGCAGACAGCCTGCCCGCCGTTGTGCAGATGCTCTCTGCAGTGTGTAAAGATGGGGCTCTGCGGGTGCCAGTAACAGCCCACGTGCTGTAAGGAGCTCGCCACAGTCTCACTGGGAGACGAGGTTGTCCCTGGGGATGGCACCACGGTTGTAATTTGCCTCAGTCTGCAGGAATGACTGCAGGTTAAACTCTGTGTGCGTCACCTGTGGGATGTGGTAGGTCTGGTTCCTTCAGACGGTGCTCGTGTTTGAGAAGGGCTGTTCTGTGTCGAGTTCTCAAGCTGTCTCTCTGCCTCCAGGTCTCCTATCTTCCCTTCACACAAGCTTTTGAGAGAGCAAAAGCAGAGAAGAAGCTGGTGCACTCAATCCTGCTGTGGGGAGCCCTGGACGACCAGTCCTGCTGAGGTGAGGACATTCCCAGCGTGGCTGGAGGAATGTTGTACCTCGTTCAGGCTCTGAGAGGAGCTGGGGTCAGGGAGCTGGTCAGGAGCCAGCGGTAAATGTCGTGCTACTCATTTTGGCACTAAAGATGCTGAAGAGAAAAGGGCTGGAAGCGGGGAATTGCTGATCAGAGCTTAGGTCCCCAGTGGCAGGAGCAGATCTATTTAAAACAAGCCCCAGACCAACTGGCTAATTCAAGTGCTTTTGTCGAGGTGGAGGCATGGGTCTGGTCTTTCTCCTGTCTCTTCCCCTCTCAGTCTGCTTGGGCAGAGGCAGCATCTACAGGGCAAAAGGGACACTGCTCTCTGCTTTGTCCCTGACAGCTGCACAGGAGAAGCCAGAGCCAGATGTGGGCTTGGCGTTGTCCTGATGTGTGGCTGTTCCCCCACAGACATGCTTAAGAATTTCCATGCCACATTGGGCAGGAGTGATGGGTGGGAGAAGGGCAGATATCTTTAGTCCTGTCTGCCCTTAACTCTTCAGCGTGCGTGGGCTCTGCTCTGCATGAACAGCAAGAGGGACTCAGGGTGGATCTGCAGGGCCTGGTCCTTTCCTAAATGCACCCCATCAGTCAGCCTCCACGGCAAGCTTGTCCTCATCCTTCTGTTGCCTTGCAAGTGGCTGGGGTCTGCTCTGGTGAGTCTTCTCTGCCAGCAGCACACACTGGAAATAATAAGCTATGGAAAGCTGCCAACAAAGCAGAAAAAAGACAATGGGGTTGGCTGGGGGGAGCCCAAGCCAGCTGCCACAGCAGCCACAGCAGTGGCATCGTGGTGGCATCAAACATGGCAACAGTCAGCTCAGGAAACACAGCAAACCACTGTCTGCCTCTCTTCCTATGTCAGGTTCGGGGCGAACTCTCCGGGAGACCGTCCTGGAAAGTTCGCCCATCCTCGCCCTGCTAAACGAGAGCTTCATTAGCAGCTGGTCACTGGTGAAGGAGCTGGAGGAGCTGCAGGTGAGTGGCACGGGCACGTCTGCCTTCTTCGTGTTCGGTGCTGGTGAACGCAGGCGGTGCTTGGCACGGGAGTCCCAGCAGGAGCAGGGAGCTCGCACCTATGCCAGTGGAGGATTTCGGTTCCCAGCCCTTAGTGTTCTAGCGATTGCAGGGGCCAAGCGAACACCAGATGGAGGCAGGCTAAGAAAATGGCACAGTGACCCCCTTCGCGCTGTCATGGTGCCAATATTCAAAGCTAAACCAGAGGCTTCGCTGCGAGATAGCCCTGCCCAAGGCCGTTTGTGCCATCAACAGACGGACTTCTTGGTAACCCAGGGAGCAACCAAATACTGTCTGAACCCCGAGTCTCCTGGTTGTACCTTTCCCCACTTACGAGCCTGTCTCTGGGCCCATGCTGTCAGCTGGGGTCAGTCACAAAGGTGGAGACTCTGGGAAAAGCTGGGATCAGACTGTTGGTTTGCCTGGGAACTGCCAGCGATGGGGTGATTTTATTGTTGGGAAGGAAATAGAGCTGAAAAGTGAGAGGGAGACTGACTGAAAGGGAATAGAGTTTCAGTGTGTGCAGACATGTTTCTTTGGGGTCTCCTTACAGACCAACAGAGAGAATGAGTTCTACAGCAAGCTGGCTGACCTGCACCTGGAGAAATACAACTTCCCTGTGGAGATGATCATCTGCCTCCCCAACGGCACGGTGGTACGTTCGCTACCCCTTTAGCTGGCTCTTCCCATCCAAATGTGTGCTTTCCAGGGTCATCTGCAGACCCTGAAGCGAGAGTCCACTCCCCAGCCATTCCCTGGCTCCTCGAGCCTTTGTGGGGCTGTAGTGCCTCAGGGTGCTGTGCTCTCAGGGATGCTGTGGCAGACAGACAGCAGCTCTACCAAGAAATCTGAAATGTCTTTTTATTCAGAGACAGAACAACAGCAGCTCTGGGCAGAGGGGAGAAACAATCGGGCTTGAACCAAGTGTCTGCCTGTTTCCTTCTTGTCCTTGGTTGGAGTCAGTGACCTTTGGGAAGACATCGTAGCTCGTTTCCTGAACCCATTCTCCCTTGTGCTCATGCTTTGGAGAAAATCTCTCCTTATCAGCACCTTCTAGAACATGCGTCTTTCTCTTGATTCCCCAAGTTTGTCACAGAAGATCAGCCATTAGCAAGTCCACACGCTTCAGCTCTGCTGTTCCCCCCCGAGAGCCCCTCCACCTTGAACTTGAAGAACGAGGACAGTTCCTGATGCCTGACAGCGTGGCGCTGTGCTGTGTGTCAGCGGACGGGCTGTCTGCAGTGGAGGACCTGCCAGAGCTGATCCGATTGTGCCCCGCGCTTGCCAGATGCACTGGTAACGCGTGCAGTGACTCCTCACTGCCTCGTTAGTGGCTCCCCTCTAGGCAGGGCTGTGGGCTGGTGGGTGGCTTCAGCTCAGCGAGGAGAATTCTGTCAGCAGGAGTTGTTCTGGCCCTTAAAGTCTCCTCTCCTCGTCTTGTTTTCTTTCCCAGGTCCACCATATCAATGCCAACTACTTCCTGGACATTACTTCGATGAAGCCTGAAGATGTTGAAAGTAGCATCTTTAGTTTCTCAACCAATTTTGAAGACCCTTCAACTGCAACTTACCTCCAGTTCCTGAAGGAAGGACTGCAAAGAGCAAAACCATACCTGCAGACCTAAACACAGAGGCACCCAAGTGCCCCACAGAGATGGCCAAAGACTTAAGAGATCTATTTTGATTACAGCAATTCTTCTTCATCTTCATGCGAGATCTTCATGTTAAGATGCAGACGGTCCCAGGACTGGAGCTTTGCTCTGGATGATGGTTTGAGGCCACGTTTCAAGTGATACCAGTTTACATAACCCACCCTTTTGAGTTGAAGCAAATTTTGACAGGAGTGAAAATACTTGAATCTACAAACATTCTCAGTGCATATGCCTTGGGTTTGCCACCCACCCTCATGTTTTTCCAGCTCCTGTTCAGACTCCGTGGTGAAACTGGTGTAACAGCGAGACCCAGCATCACCTGGAAACGCCTGATCTCAAGGACTGGACTGTGTTGAACCACGGAGAACAGCATTGCTGTTACGACCAAACACTCGTGGTGAGCGCCGGTGCCCTGTGGGCAAAGGCGCAGAGCCCGGCGCAGGTGGGAACTCCTTCCTGGTAGCCGGTGCCCTCCACACCTCCTTGGCAGCGGCAGCTCTGAGCTGTCAGCTGCCCTGTGGCTTTGCGATGGCATTTGTTGACAGCAGTGGCAATCAGTGCACAGTGGGACCGTAGCTGGTAACGTGTAGACGTGAAAACTGAAGGTTCAAACTGGAGCCTTGAGCTCTGGAGTAGCCTCTTCCCAGCACCCTGTGTGACACAGTGGGAGAGCAGCCTCGTGTATTCAGGTTCTTTGCATCTGAGGGAGGTGCTGAGGTTGACACGGTGGCATTAGGAATGGAGACCAGGGCAACAGAGGTATGGTGCAGCTCAGAGATACCAGGCATGGATTAACTCAGGGGGATTAGGGACCAGAGCCCCTGTTGGCTCCATCAGTGCAGTATGTGCACTCCAGGCCACTGGACACAGTAGTGAGCGGTGCCCCCACCCCATTCAGCCCAGGGCCACTCCCACCCCGCCAGCTTTGGGAGCTTTGTTCTCCCAGTGTCTCCTCCAAGCTGGTGAAATGCTCCATCCTTGTTTGCCTTGAGCTTCCAAAACACGCTGAATGCTGAACCATGACAAAGTTCCCTTTGGGAGTAGGAGGTTCAGTGTTGCCTTGAGAGCATTAACTGGTTGAGAACCGAGCAGTTTTGAAAGCCAGCAGTGCTAAAGAAACCTTCAGGAGATTTTTCCAGAGAAATTGTTCAGACAGAACGTGGACTGTAACTGCCCTGAGCAGTTGCCCCTGCTCTGTCCCAGTGCCTGGCTACAGAGCGAGCGTAATTTGGAAAAGGAAAGGTTAAATGAAATGGGGTTTAAAGCATATTCCTGTAGATAGTGAGGAGACAAAGTGCCTTCAACAGAGGGCTGCCAACAGCCATGGCTGTTGATGCTTTTTTCTGCTCTCTGAAGCACAATTTTGTTGGACCAAATCAAACCGGGGAAAGACATTTTTTTGGAAGGGGTATTTTCATTCCTGGTCTCCAGGACCTGGGAGGAACCCAGAGGTCGTGATTACCCTGTCCCAGCCCTCCTGTCTGTATCCGTGGCTGGAGACTGAGCTTAGCTGGACCTCTGGGCTGAGCCAGTGTAGCTTCACTAATTGCTCCGGTGAGACTAATTACACCTGGGATGTTTCCCAGTATCGGCTTCCTAACTATGCATTAGCTCTGCGCTTTTCTCGCACTCCAAGGGGCCTGCAGTCACGACCGGCTTGGGTCTGGCAGCACTTTCAGCTGCAGAAAGTGCCAAAGCCTCCAGGCAGCGTTGGAGTCCGAGCTCCTGCCGCAGCGGCACGCTCATCCCTTGGAGGGACTTGGGTCTCATCCCTTCAGGGGACTTGACCCTGAGCGGAGAGCAGCAGAGAGGGGTGCCTGCCTCCCCCCAGCTCCCTGGGCGGCACAGCCGCAGTGAACATCTGCCCTGCTGGCTTTTAGGGAGCTTCGTGGGAGGTGTTTTTGCTGCACCTTCCGTGAGCCCTGCGGGCAGGCCTTCGGAGCACTGTCAGTTGGGCTCAGGTAGAGGGTTCCATTTTGGTTTCCTCCCCCACCAGTTCTGCAGCAGAAGGGGATGGAGAGGGCAGTGGCTGGGCAGGCAGGGATTGCTTTTGTCTTTCCAGGCTTGGAAAAACAGGCAGAGCAGCGGTTCCGCAGGGCCAGGGGAGCCTGTTTTCCTTCTGCTGTGCTGAGGTCGGGACAAAGCCTTGGGGATCCCTGAAAGCACCTCGTTT